TAAGTGATTAATAAAAGTCAAAAGATCAAAGAGGTCACCTTAATACCCCTCCAAAAAAAAAAACAAATATTAGCAAGATTAATTCCAGTATTATTAATAGCTGATATATTTTTTTTTAGTATTAAGGTGATCTTTTTGGTCCTAGCTTTTTATTAATACTTATATCAGATACATGTTTTATATAGACATATCTATATTGAACTATCAGATGAGTGTATAACTGGTTATATATGTAACTTTTCTATATTACCTATTTAAGAAGTCTGCTTAAGAGTTCCCTACTAGTTGTCATATCTAATACTCCTGCTTAGATGTTTTATTTAAATTCTCTGATCTGTCTCTAGTATTAATTTTATCAGATCAAAGACCCAAATTTATTTACTTTTAACTATAGAACTATAATTCTAGACTATTTTTATTCTTAAGACAAACCTATCAGAGCAAGTCATATTCTTTTTTATTGCTAACCTGGTTTGATGCTATGGCCAAGACTAATACTTGTTGTTAGTATTACTTATTAAATTACTATTACTCTTGTAATTTTACCCAAACCCTAGTACCCATCTTTCTGATATCTTTTTCATTATTTCCTACTAGCCATAACTCAGAACTAACAACAAACTCTCTAGACTTTCAATTTAGATAACCTAATATGGTATACTTATATATTCTTTTTTTCTAATAATTTCAGCAGCCTGGTTGGTCATATGCTTCTTTATACATCTTGTTATCTGATTTATCTGACAGTTTCTATGAAGGTGTTTTATGGGCTTTTATTAGTTCAATAGTATCATTGAAAGTTTGTGCTATTTCTTTACTTAAGATTTCCAAATAGGTTTTTGTCTTCTTAGTTTCTTAGCTTTTTATATCAGAGTCTTAGTACAGATTTGCACTGAAGTCTTATATAACACCAGTTTTTTACATTCCTTTATATATATATAATGTTATACTTTACATAGATGCTCTGAGCTTTCAATGTTAGATGAAACCCAACTTAGTTTATCTAAGATTACAAATACTCAAAACCTAACTGATCAGCAAGAGACAGTTACTATAATATAGATATAATTTTCAAAATTCATCATCTATAGAAATTGAATCTTAGATTTGCCACTTGAGGGTTAACAACCTATTCACTTTACTAGTTCACTACACCTCTATTAATAGCTAATATTTCTATAATTATTTTTATATAGTTCATATAAAGTTATTAATATATGCTATACTTAAAGATTACAAATATGTACTAAATATTAGTAAGCTATTAGCTAATATATATTAAAAAGTTTTTACTAATTTTATATGACCTATCATAGGCCTATTTGTTTGATAATAGGTAACTAAAGCTTTATAGTTGAAGTTATATTAACAAATATTTAATTTTCTTTAATTTAATTTAATTTTTTTATAACTAAAAAAATTATATTTTAGGATGTAGTGACTTAGCAAAAAAGATAAATTGTTAATTTTCAAGTATTAAGTTGAATATTCAAATCTTATTGATGACAAAAATTTGAATAATCACTTATATAATACTCATATTATAGCAATTGATTTCAATAATTGAGTTAGGATATCTGTAATAATATTTACACTAGTATAATTGGCAAATTATAAAGTATCTGTATAAATATAACATTATATAGAAGAATGCAAACTAGTATTAGACAGTACAAACTTTAAATAAATATTTGTGACCATGTAAATTTATTAAAACTAGAAAACAAGGGATCTATTTGGGAAGACTTGAATAAAAAGACAGCATGGATCTTTAATAATGCTACTGTAAAAACTATCTTATAAAACAGATACTAATGTTAAAATACTCAGATAAGAAAAAATCTCTAAGTCAGAGTTTCAAAGATATCACTAACCAGGCTGCTAAAATGAATCAAAAAAAAGAATATTGAATTTACCTAATATACCAATAGACTAATTGTAATTTTACAAAACTATCTGAATTAGGAGTCTGAAAAATAAGTAGGAATATACTAAAGTATTTTAAATACTGTAAAGTTGATACTGAGATTTAAATAAACTCTACAAGGAACAAAATTTAATGACTAGTCCTGATCATAAGTGTTAGTTTTGCTATAGTGATACTATGTTATCTGTAAAAATAGATACAAAAAGCTTTAGAAGGTTTACTTCAAGGATAAAATAATTCTAAAGTTGAGATGATGATCTGGACAAAACTCAGTAATATTAACACAAATGCAGGTTCAGAGGGTTTAAAATAAAACACCCAAGCAGAGGTGTTAGATATAGCAATTGATAAAAAATCTTTAAGCAAACTTATTAAATAGGTAATATAGAAAAGTTACACATGTAACCAATTGTACACTCTTTCTGTAGTGATTTATAGAATCACATTACCAAAAAATTAGTAATAAAAGACAAAAGATCAAAGAAGTTACCTTAATATCAAAAAAAAAAATTTATATTTCAAAAAACTCAAATATTAAATCTACTTTCAAATACTGATAGAATATAAAAATTTTTAATAAATTTAAATTAATAAATAAAGTAATCTAAATCTATTAATTTGAATATGAGTATATAAGCAATTAGGTTTATATAATAATATATATTAATAAAGAGTTCAAGACACCAACCTTACCTTAATATAAAGAAATTAATTAAATTAATGATTAAAATTGTGTATATACTTTTTATTACAAATATTATACAAACTTTTTATACTAGTTTATAATGATTTTAATATTTGTTAATGCTTATTATTCTAATCTGAATTTAATATTGTATATCTAATTACTTTTTAATAATTATAATACTATAAATAATCTAAAAAAAGTAATAATAATTATAATGTGCGCATATAGATCCTTTAATAGAAAAACAAATGGTATCAAGTTTTAATGCATTATATAGAATTTGTAATTGTATAAGTAACTACATAGAAAGATGATTATACCACTTTATACACATATTTTAATAAAAATATTCTAATCCCTTACCTTAGGTATTAGCATGAAGTTTTCGCTTGTTTTTGCTAAATACCCGTGATCTTGGTATAGTGATCGGGGTATTTACTTGATGATTTAATTTTTATAAATTAAATACAAGATATAAAGTATTATAATCATCATTATTAAGTTAATTTATTTAACCATATAACAATATTTAAAATTTACCTAAAACATTTTAACATCTTTTTTAATTGACTAATTTTGATATTTGCATATCTAGTAGATTAGTACTTCAGTTTTAACATAATAAGTATTAATATTATTTAAAGTAAATTTTGTATTTATTAACAATAAGTATTAGATTCTTAGAAAAGTACTTTCAAATGCATAAATAAGTTACTTGGCAACCAATTCAGACAATGAATTGTTACCAAATCTTTCAATATTATGTATTTTTACGCGGTTTGCTTATTGAAAATTTATTCGTAAAAGTTTTTAGGCTCAGGATCAGAACCTTGTTGAACAAAAACGTGAAATATCAAACTACATTATGTTTAAAAAAAATATTGTAACACATTCGCGAAATCCCAATTTTAATATTGTACAAGATAAATTAACCAATCAGCATGGATTTCATGATAATCACATTTGGAGTCAAGCATATACGATGCTCAAATTGGCCTATTATACAATAAAACTAAGGTCCCTAATAAAATAAATCAGATTTTAATGAATTATTGATAATATGGGTCTTTGCCTTGAAAATCACGTTATGGGACATAGTAAATCTATGTCCCATAACATGATTCTCAAGGCAAAGACCCCATATTATTTTTATTACTTTTACTCTTTCCATACCACGATGATAGAAAGATTAAATATAACAATTTTGGTTTTGGTTTTTTTTTTTTTAAAAAAAAAGCTTATAACTTCGTCAAACAAAACCGCCCTTGATTTTAAACAAATAGATTCTGACCAAGTCTCACTATAAATTAGCTTTAATACCTAGCTACTACCCTACCCTAACTTAATAAATTTTGTTTTTGTCTTGTTGTTATTTTGATAATCATATAGCACAAGAGAATGGTGTTGATTTAAAAAGTAAATATATACCAAAACTTTAAATCCTGAAATGACTTTGACTTTTGCATAATAATTGTTCTATGAATACTCCGTTTATAGAAGTGACTTTGCATAAAAATTGTTTTATATATACTCCACTTATAGAGGTGACTTCCGCATAAAAGTTGTTTGATGAGTACTCCGATTATAGTTAACTTAATAAAGTTGTAAATTTAATAGTTTTGATCGGAGAATATTCGGATTTGTATCGAAGCTTAAAAATTCAAATGATTTATTTACTAGAAAAATAAACAAGCTTCTGTTAATATAAAATGATAATTATTAAGAAAAGAATTGATGCCTTCTAAAATCCCGACAGTCAGGATTCCATTAGGGTTTAAAATCCTGAGATTTAAAAGCCCTCTAGAATAACCACTCAAATCATTTATATCAAATTATATGCATTGGAAATAATTTAAGATCCGTACGAAAATGATTTTGGTGGTTCTTCAGATTTTAATCTTGTCGAGATTTTAATAAAGACTAGAAACGGTACCTCAAAATCCATAGGATCCTCTGGGGTTTCTAATTCAAATTAAAGAATTTTAGTTGAATGTAAATATTATCCAATTTATAAAACAAATAAAACATATACCTAATTCTTTCAATAAATAAATTGATTTTTGATGATTATTCTTGGCTGCTAATCTTAAATATCTCAAACCAAGAGCTTTATCTTGCTGCACTTGAAGTTTTCCTTTCGAATAAATATCGCCCATACAATAGATTGCATCAACGTGATCATTATTAGCAGCTAATTTGAAATAATGTAAAATTTCTTTGCAGCGTTCCTCCTTATTAATTTTATTTTCTTCTTTTTTTAGATCAGAAAGTAATAAAGTGGCATATCGATATTGTGCATCAGCATGATCACTATCAGCAGCTTCTTTAAAGAGCTGTTTTGCCTTTTCAATATCTTGTTTAACAACACCGTATTCATGATATAAATAATAGCCTTGCCAATATTTTGCTTTTAAATTGCCAAGTTCAGCATTTTCATAAAAACATTTCCATGCTCTTTGGTAATCTTTACTTTGATGAAGTTTGATTCCTTCTTCAAGAGAAATATATGATGAACCTTCAATGGGCATGTGTTCAGGTTCTGATACTTCAGGATTTATAATGTCTGCAGTATTCATTTCATTTGTGTTTGATAATTTTATATTCAAAAACACATTATTGGGAATTGGGTAGTTTACAGTCAATTCTTCAAGCTTCTGATGTAAATTTGTAATAGCTATTCGTTCATATGGATTTTGCTTCCAAGCTGTTTTCCAGAAAAACAAAAAGAAATATTGAGATATAATATTAAGATAACATAAATAGAAAATAAGTATAATAAATTACCATCACGAATTATTTTAATAATAAGTTCTAATAGAACCTTTTCGTCATTGGAGTTAGCATTTCCATACAAAAGTTCTTCTCTTTTACCATTTAAAACATGCTCAAAAATTTGTTGAATGCCCAATTTTTCATACGGTATTTTTTCATAACAGAGTTCCCAAATAAGCATTCCGAAACTAATTACAAAGAAAATAAAGTAAATCCTAATACAAATAATCCTAATCAAAAGTTAAATAACTAACTGGTACCTGAAAATTTCGCTGTTAATTGTATATATTTTTTCTTTATATGATCCATTTTTATATTTCATAATCTGTTCAGGAGCCATCCAGTGGACAATATCGGTTGCTAGGCCAGACAGATTCCTAGTATCGTGATCTGCAAACCTTGCACATCCAAAATTTCCAAGTTTTGGATCCAGGCTATGTGTTACCTGTGGTTTGATACATACATAAGTTAGTAGTTATATATAAAGTTGTTACATTCGGTATACTGTATTCAATATGTTAAATTTGAAATAACATATTGAAAAGTATTACTACATTTACTCATATATTAACTCATACTTACGTAGACATTTTTGCATCTCACATCGTGATGAAAGATCTTTACACTACGTAAATACACAAGACCACGACAGATATCTCGAATAATTCGTACTTTTCTAGTCCATGGAATATGATAATTACTGTAAAGTTCTTTTAAAGTTCCATATTCAGCCCAATCAAAGATCATGACATCATGGTTATCAACATATGAGAAGCCATAGAACTGGAGAATGTATGGTGATTGACCTAATTCACCAAGTATTGCTAATTCAAATTCGGGATATTTAGACTTTTTAGTGGGCCTACATGCCACTTCTGAACCTTTGTAAAATTTTTTAATGACAGGACAGTACTCTGAACCACGATAGTCTTGTTTATTTGGGATAATAGGCTCGCTTAATTCATTTATATCGATTTCTTTTGGAGGAGCATTAGATGAATGTTTAACTATATTTACGTTTTGAACTACTAAATCGAGCTTACTACCAAGGTTTTGAAGAGTCTAAAACGAGGATTAACGAAAAAATAACGTTCAAAATTAACTTAATATGAATACGTATTTAAATAATCGTACATACATACTTTTTCAACATTCTTTAAGGATTCATCGACTTTTCCGCTTTCATTTTCATTAACAACCGCTATAGTAAACTGTAGATCATTCATAGATGTATCAAATTCTTTTAATAATATTTCGTACTGTTTTTTAACTTCTGTTGCCATGAAAAATTTTCTAAAACCTTCAAGCTTTGATACTTTGTTAGTAAATTCCTTTATATTTGTCAAAGTATTTTGAAATCTTTTAAATGATAAAAAATATTTTTGAAAATAGTATTCGATGCTGTTTTTTTCTAGCATTCTTTTCAGGGCAAATTCAGCAAGTGCTACTCGGTCCACCATAATTGAACAAATTTCTTTATTACATTCTGCATTCTCGTAAATTTGATTAACTTCTTTAACCAAGACACTCACTGCACCGAAAAAAGGTACAAATGAGCCACCGGCTTCAGTGACAGTTAAAACAGCATTTACTGCCATATTCCTCGAACTTGTATTAACTGGATTGGACATAATTGAAGACTAAGTATATTTGTGTATATACACTAAATTTTGCGTTTGTAATTTGGTAAAAAATTTTTAAGCTTGTAAATCCGCATACGTAACGTATATGCGTACAAAATATTAATTTATACGTACACATAAATAAGCATGTGAATTGCCAATCACAATAGAAATGTAAACTGAATTATATATACTTGCAGCACACAAATATGTATGTCCGAACTCGAGTATAGTATAAAAAAAAAACACTAGTTATATATTTTAGTATAAAAAAAGAAAAAGATAAAATTTTAAGATTAAATGTACTTTTTTCTTTAGGACAATTGAGTTTTTTGCAAATATATTTACTACGTATTGTGAGCCGCAGGACGGTAATCTCGGAAGCACGTGGAATACGTGGCAAAAAACGGATATGTCAATCTTTTACCTAAAATGGGTTTACCGGCCGTATACGTACACGTATTCGCTGTATACACTGCATCAGATTTTTAATGAATATCAGCATAATAATTGGAATCAGGGTATAATTAGTATAGTAAGTATATACTTTATAATCAGTATAAGCAGGATAATAAGTACAAGTAGCATATCACAGATGATATGTATAATGTGCTATAAGTATATAATAAAGGCATTTCTCCCTAGAAGAAAAGAATCGTTCGTGATTAAAAATAAATTCGGCACCTATAATTACATTTCGATCTACCGCTACTGTTTAAGTGGCATAAGTGGTACGATCATTGTTCTTGCAATCTTGCTCACATTATATCGTAAAGTGTGCTGTTACCCTGTTCGGTTGATTCTCGACGTACTGAGAACTACCATGGTTGTTTTCCAACTCTCCCAACGTACCGTGAACAGTTGTGGTTATTGCATTCCGGTTTGAGGTCCAAGAGGAAGGTCCCAGCCGTGGTTTTGTTGAAATTATCGAGGATATTGATAGAGGTGTAATGGGCGGGAACGTATACAACAACGAACAGAAGAAATGCGACGAATTGTCGCTACGAATTCGTTGCTGTCGTGTAACGCGCTCAAAAGTTTGGACGAGACAAGTATGATTTGACACAGGTTAAGGCGGCTTTTGAGCACATTACCGGTTAAGGATAGGGTCTTTTAAAGAGCGTTTTTGTTTTGTGTGGGTTAGAGGGGTCTTTATTAACGAATTTATTATGTAGGGAACACACTCAATTTGCTCATTCGCTGACTTGTTTACAAGAGAGAAAATCCCACCTCTATTTATAACAGAATTACCCCTTGGAGAGGCATATACAAGACCGTAACCTTTCTCCCTTACTTTCAACCTATTTGTACTAACTTTTAACACTTCTATACACAGCCTTTCGTCACTTTAGCATTTCCCATTGAGTTTCACCCTCCTAATGACGACAAATGAAACCAACATATGACGATGCATTTACACGGCCACATACTTTACCTGTCAACCAAATCGGGCAGGTTGTTTTTCTTATATGCTGCCACTTAGTTCGGGGGACCTGGGTCTAACGGATTTGCTGCAGGAAGTTTGTCGTTCGATTCTTCTTAGTCAGGGCATCGTGATACGGCGGCTTTTCGTAGGGTATTTCGTGAGTCGGTTCGCGACGGGTCTTAGGGTCGGGTTTACCTACAACAATATAAGTATAAGCTTTATTGTGTATAATTCGGTTCCCTATACAAGTAAAAGAAGCCATACCTACGACCTTAACCCCACTCGTCAAATATAACCGCCTCTTATCGACTAAGGAGATTCGTAAGTTACACGACATCCCAGATTGTGGAGCGACTGACTCGCCGTCTAGAAGTGTCAGTATTTATCATAAATAGTTATGTTATGCGTCATTTCTCAATTTTTGTCGATTATTATTGACGGCTGTCATTTTTCAATTTCTACCGATTGATAAATGACCCAGGTCAATTCTTAATGCAGATCATATTATAATCAACTATAGCTTATTATTGATGCCAATAATGATAAATAAATAAATTTTGAATAATATTCTTTTATCATCATTTTGATCATTTTGGATGTCGTCAATCAAAACGTCCCATCGTGAGATTAAAATTGTTACACAAATTATAAAAAATTGGGAGGCATGTCTAATTGTAACATAGAGTGGCGTTAATCGAAGTATTATTTCGATTAACGTCACTCTATGTTACAATTAGACATGCCTCCCAATTTTTTATAATTTGTGTAACAATTTTAATCTCACGATGGGACGTGAGACCTTTAACCGAATATTGGAAACATACACGAACAAAGAAAAAACAATCGAAGTTTGATGGATAGCAAACGTTACTATTAATGTCTTAAGATATTAAAAAATCACACCAAGCAGAATATTACATTCACGTCATACATTTATACTATGCAAGAACGCACAACTCAAGAACACCCAAGAACGCTTAACTCATACATTTCCGAAGTAAATAAAAAAAATTTTTTGAATTTCAATTAAAGTTAACTGAAACTAACGACATATGGCGTCCCTCTAGAGGGGTTGGAAAAAAAAATAATTTACTGATATAATTTGAATTGAAGTAACGGTGCAAATAATAATGATTCAAGTCAAAAAAACTCGTCCGAATTCTTGCAGTTTCCGAAAAACGAATTATAGTACTAAATCTTGCTCTTGTAGAAAGAAAAATTCGGTATATACTCAAGGCAAACGTTTTTAATTCCATTAGTAAATTTTAATATATCTTGCATAAATTTGAATATTTTCGGTTAAATATGAATACGTATAAATTTTTTTATTTTAATTTGCAAGTTTTATACCGATTGAAAAATGATGTATGTCGTTTTTCAATTGAAAAAATGACATGTGTCGATTAATAATTGACAGAATTTAAAAATGACGCGTAACAGTTAAACCTTTTGTTAATTTGCGATTTCGAAGCTTACCATCCGATTGGACGATAACCAAGGTTGGCTCACGTGTAAATTATAACTTTATCGATATAACTAGAAATAATTAATGATATTATAAAAAATAAGTTTCATCTATAAAATCATAAACAAATTTAACTCCTAAATAAGGTTTATCTTTGTTATGTCGTGAAATTATTAAGCTTTAGTAAAATCTTTTTAAAATAGATAATGATCATTCATAGTAATGTGAAGCGTGCGGTACCATGAGTACTGTTGCTATAATGTACTGTTCTACAATCAATCTAGGCGCAATATCTGATACCAAATTTGTTATTTCTCTTAGTATTGTACAAGAAAAAACTTAAGTTTTAAATATGCAAATTTAGTAATATCATTACACAAATTAATAATTTATATTATCCGATAGCTTACTATGATCGTAAACAAACCTAACCAATAACGGTATTATTGTATAATTGTCTGATTTAATTTCATACCGTACGATATGGAAAAAATTATGTAATACATCAATATGTAAATATTACAATATAAATATGTTTCAGCAATGTAAATATGTCACTATCTATCTACTACTATAACCATTAGGAATAACTTCAGCAATATACTATTTATTAAGTTCACGAAAATTTATGTAATTCGCTTCACAATTCGCGTACATACTGTACGTACGTATATTATAAATTATGTAAAGCTTTTTCATGTAACCGTGATTAACTTTCTGAGGAAATTGTATGTGCTACCTGAATCTGTATTTGATTTGTATTTAATATGTATTTAATATAGATTTGGTAACAAATTATTGGCCAAAAGTTATGCATTCGGCATTTTGATAAATTATTCCTTCTCACGTAACATATAACTTTTTGTACCTAACTTTCAAAAACAAAAATCAATAACTCATAATATGAAATTATTCAAGCACCTCACTAAAGCTTTTAATCGACTGAATTTCATTGAGATGAATGATCCAGATAGGGTGTTTTGGCTTGGTTATTGTTACGAACATGGAATTGGAATGGAAATGAATAAGAATAAAGCATTTATTCATTATCAAAAATCTGCAAGAATGAATAATCCTAACGGAATGTATCAAGTTGGTTATTGTTATTTTTTGGGAATTGGTGTTGAAATCAATAAGCACAAAGCATTTGTGCATTATTTGAGGTCAGCCGAGGCAGGTAATTATATGGGCATTTTTAAAACTGCAATTTGCTATAATTACGGAATTGGTGTAGAAAATAATTGGTCCAAGTTCTATGAATGGATTGAAAAGTAAGTTATTTGTTAATATTCATTAATATATTTGAATTTTACATACGTATTAAAATTAGAATTTATGACATTATATAACTTTTTTAGAGAGTAAGTATAAAAATCAATTATATTAAACATAAAGATCATTCGTCTATAAACATTTATTTTAAATAATATGGCACAAAATATTTTTTACTTTGATCTAGCCCGTAAGTATAAGAAAAACATTTACTAATATAAGTATTTAAACTATGCTAATAAGACTTAAAAATATTTACTATTTATCTTTAACATACTGTAGTTAGTAAGTATAAATACGTATCATTAATTTAAGTATTAATTAACTTTTCAAATTTATGATAATTTAATATCTAATTTTATTTTAGTTAGTGAGTATAAAGTATATAATATTAATAATCTAAGATTTAATAAGCTTTTCATGTTTATGAATATTTATTCTTTAATTTTATTTTAGTCAGTAAGTATAAAAAACATTAATTTCTGTATTTGAATAAATTATTTAAGTTTACAAATATTTATTATTAAATTTATTTTTTTGTATTAATTTAGTTCGTGAGTATAAAAAATATTTATTAATCTAAGTATTTAAAATAAGATATTCAAGTTTATAAATATTTATTATGGATTTTTTTCTATATATTGTAGTTAGTAAGTATAAAAACATTTATTAGACTAAAATTATAAAATAAATTATTAAAATTTATATTGAATTTAATTCGATATATTGGTGTAGTTAGTAAGTATATGAAACATTTATTAATCAAATATTTCAAATAAGCTATTTAAGTTTAAAAACATTTATTATTTAGTGAGTAAGTATAAAGAACATTAATTAAATCATTTA